AGGGAAATGAAAGAGATGAAAAATTGACATCATTAATTTGAAAAGACACATGTGTTCCTATGTTTATTATAGTATGTTCACAATAGCCAAGACAGGAAATATTACCAATAGTAGGTAACTGAATACAGAAAAGGTGTTATTCGATGAAGCACTCAAGTGGGACTTTGAGCTAACTTTGTTTTAAAGGACACAGCTTTGCTATTTTCATGAAATAGCCTTGCTATTTCTCATGCTATTTTGGATCAAGAATGAGGAGATTTAAGTTGACTAAGCATGAGGTGACCACCTGGATTAAGGTAGAAAGAGTGAATGCTTCATGATCTACTAATTATAATATGTGGAATAAAAGAGAAAGCAAAAAACCAAAATTAAAACCCCATGACTCTAATAATAAAATAATGTGAGTGAGGTTTTGAGGAATGGGCAAAGGGGTTCGATTGGACAGTGATTGCTGGGGCTACAGCTTTGATGGTGAGTATGGTGTTGTATTTATATATGCCCAGAAGTATATCTCTATCCTGAGACTTATCTGATGCTGTAACTGCAGCTGCCTCCAAAAACATTTCTCAAAAAGACAGTAAAGAACAGACAAAGGCAGCAGGTTTGAGGTGATAGCTCAAGTGTCAGAGCACATGCCAAGCATACATAAGGCTCTAAGTTCAATTCCTGGCACCACATGGTTCCCGGAGGACAGCTGGAATTTGGCCCCTATAAACACAATGACAAAACCAAACCAAAAAAATTTTAAGGTAGCCACAGAAATTACGTTACCATTTTCAATTATGTACATTCCTATATTGTCTGTAGATGTAATAGGGGTGAGAGGTGTATGCAAATCTTTGGCTATCAAGAGACACAAATACATATGCAAATACAAATACAAATGTGTTTTTGTATTTGTACAAAAATGCAGGAAAAAGTACAACTGAGGCAAAACTACCCTGAGAATGAAAGTCTTGCTGAACTACAATAAACTACTAAATACAATGCTGAATTCAGATGAACACAAGAAAGTATTTGTCTGTGGGCACTTTCAATTAAAAAAAAAGAAGAAAAGAAAAGTGAACATCAAACCCAAAATATGGGGAAAGAACTGGGGCAGGAAGCAAAGGAGCTGCAGTTATTAAGCAATTCCAAGAGGTCAATGAACATTCTACTAGGCCCAAATTTCTCTGCACCCTAAGCTGCAGATCTTAGCTTGAAATATCTATATAAAATAATAACTAAGGAGTTTAAGGGCCTTAGTTGAGGGGCATCATTATACACATGGAACAGTTTCTCAGAATGTTCAAAATATATATAGATTTCAAGCTAAAAGAGATCATCATGAATATTTAGCTTCTGATGGCCAGAGGGTCACAGTCAATTTGATCTTGTAGCCCAAAATCACACAGTAAATTAATGTAAAAATGGTACTCTTTAACTCTCTATCTGAATGTCTTTTTCACAGCATTGAGTACTGACTGCAATCAGACAGGAGAAAAGAAGGGCCTGATATATTTCACGGGAGGACAAGTTCCAGTATAGACCAAACCATAGACTAAAGTACTAGGGAGTAAGTAGTTTTTGGGTTTGTGCCTGGACAAAAAGTTTGCTATTTTGCTACATATTATGCTTTGGCTTAATGCTAAAAAAATTCAATGCCATAATTTTAGTGGCAATCAAATTTTTATTTATGCTGCCATATGTAGCTTACTATAATTATTCTGCAGGTAAACTATATGCACACTGATATCTAGCTCTCTTCTACACCAACTCAGAATCTGACTTTGGTACCATCTTAATACTAGGGTAAATGTTTTATTTTGTTTTGGGGCCATCCCTGGTGTTGCACAGGGGACCATGTGGAATGTGGGATATTGAACCCAGTTTGGTTGTGTGCAAGGCAAGCACCCTACCCCATGTACTATAGTTCTGGCCCTGATACTAGGATAAATCTTATTTGCACACAGGGCACAAGAAGAACATGGAGCACTAATGTTTTTATTGCAGTCATCTTTGTGTTCAGAGATTGTTCTGGGTTCCACAAGGGATAGATGTCACTCTCTTGTGGAGATCATTATCTCAAACCCTGTCTCAAAATAGTGTGTTTTATGAGAAAACAATCTGAGTGAAAAAATAACTATATTACCTTAAAAAATATGATCCAAAGTAGTATTTAATTTGTGCATGTATTTGAAAGTGAGTTTGTCCTTTTGAGACATTTCTATGACTTCTTAATTTTTCCCAAAAATTTGATTAATTTTAGAGGGTCTTCAAATATAAATTAAAAAAAAAATCAAATGGGTAAAATTTCTTTTCATTAGATTTCTACTATCTTGTTTTTTACGCCCCATGATTACAAGCTATCAAACTATCATTTGGCTATTACTTTTTTGTAGTTAAGGACATCTTTGTATGATACTATTTAGTGTGATTGAGATTTATTGGATTTATGGGAAAAATATAATAAAATGGTAATGTCAAACATCAGTAAATAGATGTCAGAACAAAGCAATCATATTGTTTCTCATTTAATTGTAGTCAAAGAATTCAGGATAATTATTTTGTCATACTGAATATATAATTTCAACAGTTTGCAAACTGGTATCTTTAATATACAGAGCACAATTTTTTAAAAAAGTATTTACTTTTAATAAAGTCAGCCTGGATATTAATCAGTTTAACTGAACAGCAACAGTACACATAATATGTTAACATTTCCTAACAGATTTTGTAAACAAGCTGCTTCCAGGATATTTTATTAGTCATCATTAACTTTCAGAGATGTTATTTTAGGGTGGAATCTTGGTGATCCATCTCAAAAAGCACGGCTGGAATGAAGAGACCCCTGAAATGCTAAATGACAAGAACTGAAAAGGGTCTGGTGAAGTCATGACCCTTGGAAGGTGTTGGTTTACAGAGTGTGAAGTAGGTAATTCAACAGCTGTACCCAGGAAGCAACTCGAAAAGATTCACAGCCAGGAATCATCAAAAATGCTATTTTGCAGCACAGCTGACATCCACTGCCATCACACAACACAATTAATTATGTGATAGGAAAATGCTCTAACTTCTGGGACAGGAAAATACTCCTTGGAATATAGTTCAGTGTTGTAACTGAACATTTTTAAAACATAAAGCATCAATTATGCTCTCTACTGGTTTGGAGGGGTTTGTGCAGGAGGAGGTGACCATTTAGGACTTCAACAACAAAAACAAATTAACTAAGGTCTATAATTCTGAAGTGCAAAATATGAAGCAAACACTGGACATTCTGAGATCACTGCTGGATTTCTGGCCTTCAGGTATGGATGTGGAGGGCTGACTGGCCAGAGATTACTCTGTCAGAGAGAGAAGAGCTTGGGTCTCTCTTTGCAGGCCTTTGAGCTTATTTCAACTTAAAGGGAAAAATGAGCAACTATAGGGTATGAATAATGAATTGGATGTCAAACTTTCTAGAATCTTTTTTCATATTGTTTTCAACAATTTTCTTTCTTTTTTTAATTTCCTTTTGGTTATACATGGTGGTAGTGATGGAACCAACACTACAGTCTCTTTAAGCATCTCACTGCCTGAATAATATATTTTCTTAATTAACAAAGTCATTTAATCCTTTGTCTCATAATCTGTATAAAGAATACACTCACTTTAACTCCTGTGTTTCTAAGAAGGTAATGGTGGAAAGATATGTTGGTAGACATTTGTAAGACTCCTAGGTTTCTGAGAAAACAGAAACTCAGAAACACTGTAAAAACAAAACAAAACAACAACAACAAAACTCCACTACCTCTATCTAACTTTGATACTTTAACTTTTAAAAAGGTATGCATTTTGGGGGATGTGAGGGGATTATAAAAATAACTTCCTAAAGGTGAAATATATGAACATGTTAAGTGTGTGCAAAAATAGTATGTGTAAACTTTTTCTCTCATTATAAAGTCAAGAAAAGAGATACGATATTATAGAATTTCATGTTTCAAAGTTAGTAAGATATAGGTGCTGTCCTTAAAACACTTTTCTTAATTTGTGGAAAGAATTTTTATCTCTTTTCTCTAATTCAGATGAGACTCTCAGACATCTGCTCTGCAGGAGAAATGCAAGACTTACTTGAAGTTTAAATCCATAACACACATCACCAGAGTAGAGCAGAAGGGAAGAGATACAGCACAGAAGGATAGGGTGTTTGTCATGCATACGCCTGACCCATGTTTGATCCCCAAAGTATTCTCAGAAGTGATTCCTGAGCCCAGAGCTAGAAGTAAGCCCTGAGCATGGCTGGGTGTGGCCCCCAAAACATACCGCAATGAAAAACAAACAGTAAAACAGTGGAAACCCGATCAAAACTGAAAGAGCAGAAACGGTCCTGAAATCTCCACTGGCAAACATCACCATATTCAGCCTCTTTCTAAGGAGAAGGGTCTCTTTCTCTTTTTCTCTTTTTCCCTCGGCCATTCAGAGTATAAGTTTTTCTTCTACCCCCCCCCAACTAATAAAATTGTGAGGCTGCAATGTGGCCTTGCGGCAAGCAGTTTGATGTCCCCAGCAGGATACGGGGAGTCAGGAGTGGTGCTGTAAATCCAGCACGGGGCTTCAACACCGTGTGAAGTGTGGCCCAAATTTCAGAGATTTCCCTTTGATGCAAGTTCAGTATATTAATAGGAAAAGCATTCACTTTTATTTGTCTGTACTGTCTGCGACAGCAAGGCAGCCTCATTTAGCCCTGGCCAACATGAAAATACACAGAGAAGCAATCTGTTGCAAATTAGCACAACTCCCTTTTCATTTACTAGTTAGTAATTGGAAGGGGTTAAGAAAGTGTAACTTGTTAGATCATGGGGAGGTATCTGCTGGTGTGGACAGCAATTCTTTCCCAGTTTCCCTAGGAACCCGGAAGCAACAATCCTTCGTCCTTGTGGACCTTGTTCTGGAAAGCAAATAGTGACCTGTGTGAAATGGGCATGTGCGAGACAGCAGTTTTCCAGACTCCTGAAGGGGCTACTTATGACTCAGAACCTTACCTTTCTTTAGATACGTTTTTACTCTCCCGTTTCCAAATTGTCTTGAAGTCACTGCAGAACTCGTACCACACCATAAACACATAATTGGGGGTGATATCTTTCTCTCCAGACTTTGGTTTCATCCCAAAGTACTTGACTGTTGTTTCAAAACTGCATCAGGTAAGGGAAAAAGAGAGAGTGAGATGGGAATGGGGGTTAACAACATAACAGCCAACCTACTAGGTAAGAAATGGGATGCTGGGACCAATGTCTCCTCACTCTGCAAAAATTGGGGCTGACGGTCTTTGTAGCTTCAAATCCCAGCTTCAAATCCCAAATTACTGGAAACCCCTTTTCCAAGAAATTCAATGTGATAGGACTAACTCCTGGATATATTATTATCTGTAAAACACCAGTTTGAATAACTCTGGGTATGAGTATATGTAGGTAATACAATTTGGGTTTATTTATATATTTTTGGGTTTTGGGTCATACCCAGCAATGTTCAGGGATTAAACCTGGCTCTGCATTCAGTAATCACTTCTGGTGGTGCTTGGAGGGACCATTTGGGATGCTGGGGATCAACCTGGGTTAGTCACATGCAAAACAATACCCTATCTAATATCACTACAGTCCCAGTTTGGGCTTATTTTTCACTAAGTTCACATAATTCTCCCTACTTTCAATTAATGAATCATTGCTGTAATAACTCTGTAGCCGTCGTATTAATTCTGTAGCATTCATATATCAGATAGCTGTCATATTAATTCTGTAGCAGACAGCCCAGTGGGAATTCACAATCTGTTGTCTTCCACTGAAAATCAAGAGTCTGAGTGCCTTTATTCTGGTAGCCACTAATGGGTCTCTCCATTGTCTCTAGGGCAGAAAAAAGACTCACACTATTAGCTCTTTAAGGAGACTATGTTAAAACTTGATATAAGAATACAAACCACCAATTTTATAAGAGTATAATGAGGGGACAGCATTTTTTGGATGCAGCATTGTCTCTAGTCTTAAAAAGTGATGTCCAATCTGGTCCGCAAAGGAGCCAGGCTCTCTAAATAGGATTATCAGGTACCACAGAGAACCCATGACCTTCCCTGTGAGGGCCCTTTTCACATTAGACTATTCAGGCCTCCCAAGCAGTTCTTCTTGGAGGCACTAGTTTTGTAGCAATTTATAGCCCAGTATTCAATCTTTTTCTCCACCCCCCCCACCTACCCCAACCCTCACAAGCTCATTTGCCATGAGCAAGAACACTTAAATAAACGACCCCCTTTTCTAGGGTGTTGGGAACTAATCAAAGCAGGAATGGCTGGCCAGGTTTATTACTCAGTGCTCTATCATCTGTTCAGAAACGGCGTGCTTTTGTGGCCATCCTGAATACTGAGTTTCTAATAGAACTCTATTCAATGGCAATTGTAAAACCCCGAAGCCCCATTACTATTACGGAGCATACTTTCATCTCGTTCACAGTTATTGGGCAATATGTATCTCATAAGATTTTATCACATTTCACAGATGAACTGTTAATTGATTCCATGGCTATGATTAGCTGAGATCCAAGCTGGAGCAGCAGCTCTGAGTCCCATAAATTCTTTGTGCTTCTGTAAATAATAAATCTGTTTTTAATGTAAATTAAAACTACTGGTCAGGGAATTCTGGCTCCCAGTTATTAAAAGACTGAAAGTGCATAAGTGGAGAAAGGCAGTAACTGCAGTAATTTCTTAAGGGACTCTTTTATAATTCCAAGCATACTTATTCTGCAACAAAACCAGTAATGGAAAAACATAGCAATGCCCATGTTCATCCCAGACACAACTCCTAATTCAGTGGCAGTCAAAATACCGATAAAACCAAATGTACATTCTATGGCACATACTTTTCCTTCATGCAAGATTAAACATAATGCTTGTAGCCATGGAAATACAGAAGTAGAAATTTATGCAACCTATTACAAGAGGCCATGACTTTTCTTGTGTGTGTGTGAAGCAAGGTAGTTTTTATTGAGTTAAACTTGCTTAGAAAGATGTGAGAAGAGAGGAAACACGTATTCAAGAGAGAAGACTGGCTTCTCCAAAGTGGAAATTGGCATGCAAAGAAACAAGTAAATGAGATACATGTTTAAGAGAAAACACAGGCTTGAAGAGCAAGCATGACTTGACTTTTCTACAGAGTCAAGGTTTCAGAATGAGAATAATAACATAGTATTATTATTAGTAGTAGTAGTAGCGATAGCACAGTGGTAGGGCATTTGCCTTGCTGGCCCGGCTGAACCGGGCTCGATTCCTCTAGCTTGCCCTTCTTGGAGAGTCTGGCAAGCTACCGAGAGTATCTCATTCTCACGGCAAAGCTGGGCAAGCTACCCGTGACATATTCAATATGCCAAACACAGTAACAAGTCTCACGATGGAAAGGTTACTGGACCCACTTGAGCAAATCGATGAACAACGGAGGACAGTGACAGTAGTATAATATATACATATGGGTCTATGTGACCACTGTTCTTGAAACACAAAAAACTGTCCTCCCGTAATGTCTCCATTTTTGAGACTTGTTGTTACTGTGTTTGGCATATCGAATATGTCACGGGTAGCCAGGCTTTGCCGTGCAGGCGAGAGACTCTTGGTAGCTTGTCTGACTCTCCAAGAGGGGCAGAGGAATTGAAACTGACTCTGCCGGGTTGGCTGCGCGTAAGGCAAATGCCCTACCTCTGTGCTATCGCTCCAGCCCACCACTGTTCTTATTTTACAGATAAAGAGAGACCGGGACCAGAATGATAGCACAGTGAATAGGGAGTTTGCTTTGCATACGGCCAACCCAGGTTCAATCCCTGGCATCCCATATGGTCTCCCAGCACCGCCAGGAGTGATTCCTGAGTGCGGAGCCAGTAGTAACTCCTGAGTATCACTGGGTGTGGCCCAAAAAGCAAAAATAAAAATAAAAATGAGAGAGAGAGAGAGAGAGAGAGAGAGAGAGAGAGAGAGAGAGAGAGAGAGAGAGAGAGAGAGATCATTACTCATGGCAGGTTGGGCCTGTATCTTGAGCTCCCTGGTTCTCAATGAAAAACTCTTTCTGCTTTGTCATTCTGCTCATGAGAACTAATAGGTTTTCAGAAATTTTTCTGTTTCTACTTGAAATACACTTGCCCCCAATGTCATGCCTAACTGGCATTATCCCCAGAAAGAATCTCTAGTTCTTTCTCTGCCTTACGCTCACCTTCTATGCAGAACCACGATTCTTCCTCCATTGACTTAGAAGAGAAGGATTTTCATTTTTTGTATTTGGAGGACAATTTATCTCCTAATTTTCCAGCAAGTAAAGGGAGCAGAAGTTCCAGCCACTATGCTTCACAAATTGCTCATCACCTCTGGTATGATTGGCAGTCTAGATGGTGAGACTAAGAAAGTACCAATCTTTCTGCAGTACTGAGTGGCGGAATAAATCTGGGTTATGCTTAAGCTTGAGAAAAGTATGGATTCTCCTTCAGGCTTCCTATTTCTTATTGAAACTCATCCATACCCTCATATCCTCTCACTCAGGAGATTTAGGGGCTGTGCTTGCTCATCCTGCCTCAAAGGGGTGAGCAACTAAAGGAAATGCTGATTTTTTTTTTTTTAAATATGTGTCTTGGAAACGAAAAAGCAAGTGAACCTTTTCTTAAGAATTAAAGCAAAAGAGTCTCTGGGGATGCCTGATTTAGAACTCTGCAATTTTGACAAAGTTGTTCTAATTGTGTGCCTTAATTTGATTTCAGTATTTTCTCTTTCTTCAGTGAAAGGCTAATGGATAGAATATAAAACTACAATTCTGATAAGTTCTAAATTATTCTTCACCCACCATCCCCTCACAAAGCTCCATGTCTTTTTAATTAAGTTTTGATTTACTGAAGACTGCCTTTTAAAAAACTTCTACAATGTGGGCATGCAAACTGCTGGTATTTAAAGATCAGGAGGACTTTCTCCAAAAGACAGATTGCTAATCTAGCTTTTGAAATTTCCATTTGTCAGCAAGCAACAATGTTTTAACTTGTAAGAGACTGATTTGTCTTATAGGTCTTGCTTTGTGAAATTTAGAAGTTTCACTCTTTGCCCTGTTTCCCTTTTTCTCTGCTGTAATTCCTTGTCTGAGCTATATCTTTTTAATGTCCCTAAAACAAATTTTTTAAAGTATAGACAAATGATTTTATCAAAGAGGCAAGAGCAGAATGAACTGTTTTCCTTTTCCAGTGTTGAGATGCCAAGGCGGAATACATCCACTTCTTGTTTTACATGCATGCCTTCAGAAACTGCTTAGGAAAAGCAAATACCCCTTAGCCTCAGAGTAAATTGTTTCTCTTGAGAATAAAACCTAAGAATTTACTAAATCTCACACAAATATTGCAACACTGACCACCAACCTCCACAAGAAGTGTAACCAAACAACTGTGGTTTCTACATTAAAGATGGGATTGAACATATTTCATGTATGACATGAAAGCTGGACTACCTTCGCCACAAAGTCACGGAAAACGCTGACAACCAAAATTTATGACCACCCCCCACCCCTTGGCATAGCTAATGCACAGCAGCAGCTTTGACATCTAAGGTGGGGCCTCCACTCTCCTTAAATAATGCTCTTAAAGTAAGTTTCAGCATTCAGAATGCTTGCCTATTGTGGATTGCACTGCAGGGAGCATAGGGGTGCAAATGTCTTATTTTTGCATCTAATTTTTGGGCCCTTGGGTTATATTCCAGGAAGTAGAATTCTACGGCAAATGAAGTTCAATTCTTATGTATTTTTGAGGAATGTCCATATTGTTTTTCAGAAAAGCTAGACCAGTTGACATTCCCACAGGCATTGAAAGGGTCCCTTACTCTGCCCCCTGCCCCCCCCAATTCAATGCCAGCACTGGTTGTTCTTGCTCTTTTTGATGTGTGCCAGTCACTGTGGTGTGAAGTGATATCTCAATGTTGTTTTGATTCGCATTTCCCTGGGAAATTGTGGGTAGACAGAAAGTGTTTCATTTCTAGAGTCTGCATCTCAGCTCTCCACTCACACATTTCAATGCAATCGTTCCTGCCCCCACCTCATTTAATGTTTTTAGTGTGCTTAGGACTGGGTTTAGCAAAATGTATGCAAGTTCTCTGCCATAACTACAGCCAAGTGCCTCAGTATACACACACACACACACACACACACACACACACATATATATGCACTCACTCTTCTGAGAAGGAGGGATAGCCAAGGAGACTAATCTAGGCAACCAACAACAACAACAACAACAACAACAAACCAACTCTCTAAGGAATTAGAACCAATATGATTGGGGCTCCAAATGGATGGGTGGGGTAGGGGCGCCATGCAGCAGAGGTATGGCTCCACACTGAAATTGAGAAAGAGAGAAAAAAAAAAGATGCCTGAGCAGATGAGAGGGTTTGAAGTCTTTACATTTTCCCCCCCCTTTTTTTTTGTTTTTTGGGACACACACAGAGCTCCAGGCTCTGTGCTCAGGTATAATTCCTGGCAGGCTCAGGGGAACATATAGGGTGCCAGGAATCAAACTCTGGTTGGCTGTGTGCAAGGCAAGTGCCCTACCCATTGTACCATCACTCCAGACCTCTTCCAATATCTGAGGGAGTTTTCCATACATAGAAGCTAGTACATTCTCCCTGCTTCCACTCAGTTTACAATAACTTCTAGGACCCAAGGAAAGGCACAATTAGTTTCTCAGATGTTTGTTCCTAATGGGCTTAGTCTAGCTAGACAGGAAGAAGGATCCCATTGTTCCTAACTTCCAGGAAGTGGTTCTGGAGCCGAGAGGGCATGTAAATCACTTCTCGATGATGATTCTCTGCTTCCTGAGGAAGATGATTTCCATGTCCTGTTACATGGCTTTTATACCAACTCCTGATACAACTTACTACTTGTGGATGCATAGTTGTAACAAAATGGAGCTAGAAAAACTGCTAGCTAGATGTTACAATAAGTTAGGACAAGAGGGAAAAACACTGCAGGATTCTATTTTATATGAGGTCCAGAGTGCAAGCCAGGGAGACACAGAGTAGAAAGGTGGAGGTGAGAGACTGCAGGAAGGAGAAAGTCAGGCTATTAGGATTTAGTGGATACAGTGTCATTTGAAGCACATGGAAGGATTTCTGGATCAAGATGACAGTGTGGTTGCAGTCATGGCGATGTACTTACTAATAAAAATGAAGGGCTAAGAAGTGGTATAGGTGGTATAGCCATGTCTTTCATGTTGAGGTCCTGATTCTATCCCTGGGACTGTAAACCCTGCTCCGACTCTTACTCCACTGCTGGGTGTAGCCTTGGTAACCACCAAGAACTGATGAGCACACATCACCAGGAGTGGGCCTCACATTAGTGAAAAAAATCATTAAAGAAACTACTAATGATTTAAACAGGACATTTAGTGAAAGGATCAGAGCCAAGTCAGAGCTGCTTACCTTCTCTGCGCATTCTCCAAGTGACTCACTTCCATTTTATGTTCATTTTTGGCTGTCAATGAGAAACAATGATAATTTAGGTATTGTTCGCTTTTTTTCTTCCACCAGACCCTCTGCATTATCTTCCAACTTTGGTTATCCAAATAATTTCAAACCCAGTAGTTGGCCGACCCTCTGCTATACATCAATAAAGAGAGAGAGAGAGAGAGAGAGAGAGAAAGAGAGAGAGAGAGGAGAGAAAGGAGAGAGAGGAGAAGAGAGAAGAGGAGAGAAAGAGAGAAAGAGAGAGAGACAATAAACTCCATTTATTTATTTTTTAATAAATTGTGGCTCTTTAATAATCTTTTTCAATGATACAAAAATGATTCTACATAAAATGAAAAAATAAAAACAGTGATGAAGCAGTGATGAGAATGAGAGTTAATTCTTTTTTTTTTTTACAGTTGTAGATTTACTATTTTTTGTGCTTGGGTTTTGATTATACAATGATCAGATACCCATCCCTCCATCAGTGCCCATTTTCCACCACCATGGATAATATCCCCCCACCCCCATACCCCCATGCACCCCTGCCTCTGTGGCAGGGCAATCCCCTGTGTTCTCTCTCTCGTTTTGGGTGTTGTGGTCTGCAAAAGAGGCATTGTAAACTCCATTTATTTGCCCCATTGTTCCTCCCTGCTTTCTTGGTAAGATTAAAGCAATTAAAGGTCATATAATTTGTTCTTCTCACTGGATACCTTGCAGATGGAAAGGGAGTGATATCAATTATGCCTAGAAGGAGTATAATTTATCTCAGTTCTTAGCCTTGAATAAGAGATACTTTAGAATATTCCCACTAGCTCTTCTAATAGGGAAAGAAAGTTGTAAATTAGAAGGAAGATCTATGCTTAGAAAGGCATTTAAGGATTTAAAGAGGTTCCACTGTCAGGCTTTGCCCTATACCATCTATGTGTTATGGGCAAGTTGTGACCAATGTTGTGGTTAGTATCATCTGTCCTGTGACTATAATAACTACAACCATGCAGCTGTTTATAGACATGAAATGAGATAATACATGCCAAGTGCTTAGTTTTTAATACATGATCAATAAAGGACATGCCAGGTATTCATAGTGCCTCATCGTTATTGACTATTGATTTTAAAATGTAAATTGCATTAGGTGACTGTCTTGTTCAGAACCTTCCAGTAATTTGTGATCACCCTTAATATACCCTCTCAAGTCTTCACAAGGGCCCAGGAGGCTTTGTAAGTCTGCCCTGGTCTGCAAGTCAAACATGAACTCCTCTCTCCATGCTTGTTCCTTTCCAGACTGGTTGACGAGCTGGCTAAGGGTTACTGGGATCTCCTCCCTGGACACTTGTCCAATTTGCACAACTGACTCCCTCACTTCACTCAGATGTCAGTTCAAATATTTCTGAGCTCTCTAAATAAAAGACTTCCTCCTTACTTGGAATACCACCCTTACTTTCTTTACTTCCTTATTTTCCCTTCCCCTCCTCATCTCGTTGCTTGACAGACTGTTATATGATGACCCAAATCTAAGTTCTTGAGAGCAGCAATTTTATCTTGTGTTTCTGCTGTGTCATTTTAAATACAAAAAAGTGCCTACATATAACATACATTATTGCAATAAGTTTTATCACACACATTTACTGTGATAAATTTAAGGATACACACACACACACACATATCAGATAGAGATTTCTTCTGTGATTGATTAGAGATACATTTCCCAGGCACAACAATTTATATATAGAATATGAACATAGGAAAAAAGATCAAGCTAAAGTTTTATATGACTGTCTAGTGTACACAGTTAAAACAAAATGATTCTTTTTCTGGCTCCCAGAGATTAAACTCAGGACCTCTTATATGGAAGTATGTGCTCTACCAGTGAGCAATATCCCCAGTTCCCCAAATAATATTTTTAATATTAAATATTTGAGCCAGAGGCATAGCTCAGCACTAGAGCATTTGCTTTGCATGAGGCCCTGGGTTCAATCCTCAGTGCTTCAAAACAAAACAATAAAAACAATAGCAACATATATCTATATCTATATATATAATATATATGTGTGTATATATAATAAAAAAGTCAAACAAAAATTAATCCTTACACCATACAGAAAGAGGTTAGTCATATTTATGGCTATCATTGCAGGTAGAATTAAGTGATAGCTATGTCTATCTTTTGTAATCTGTTTTTAAAATTTTTAAACTTAAGAAAAATTATTTAATATATAAAATAATACTTTGAGAAAACAGACAAACTAAGAACATTCATTATCTAAATTCACCAAAATACTTAAACGTTTCATCCCTATAAATGCTCTGAAAGTGACTGAAGAAGGAGGCTACTCTTCAAAGATAGTGGGGTTTTTTGTGTGCCAAACATAATTAAGCCATGTTTATGGATATCCATCTGGGAAGTAGTAAATTGTGAAATGAGGGGGAAGGGACAGAGGTTGAAACATCTTCCTAGTATTCTTTGCACAGTCTATTACTCTTTAATATACCATGGTTTATGGACCTGGGATGGTTGATATAAACCAACAGGACACATAGTTAAGAAGCTGTTTTTATTAGAGTTTTACAAATAGAGGAGTTGGGTGATGCTAATGAGGAAACAAAGGGACCCCACTCCTTCATGTGGTATCCATCTGATGGGAACACAACAGTTGTTTTTCATTTCTGAGAAAATCTCCCTGTCATGCATTTTCCAGGAGAAAGTGCTCTTCCCCGCCTCCCGGCTAATAGAAGCAACAGCACACTGACAGTGGAAAGAGGGATGGCTTTTTCATATTCATCTGAGAAGGGGAACATTAATGTCAGGAATCACTGAATTATGGAGCGGTCTTACCTTGGCATTCCTTTTTTCCCCTTTTCTTGGTAGGGTGGCCAAACAAAAGATAATATCATCCTATTTAGTTTGGATATTTTATTTTTTTCCCCCCGGTTATAGTTAAATTAAAAGAATAACCATTTCTGGTCTGTTAAAGAGTCCTCTTTCGGGCACCTTCTGTTTGCTGCTCCACCACTCCAGGTGAGACCTGCCTAGAGTTGACATCACTGGGCCTAACTCTGTGTCGCTTAGTTCCCAGCAGCCTTCACACCCGACCTGTGCCATACAAACATACCCACTCCACAGCTCCTGACCTGCTGTCCTGACATTTCAGGTGTGGCTTACCTCTGGGTGACATTATGGGGCCTAGTCCAGAACCAGAGGCCGAATCCTTCCCTTCCGGTTAGCTCTCCCAAGAGCCTCCACACTAGATTTGCACCATATAAACAGGCCCATACCACAGCTCTTGAAGCACATGGCCCTATAAGTGACAGACCTACTCAACAAATTACATGCTGCTCATGTTCTTAGTGTCATTAGGTGAAGATGAGTAGGGAAGAAAGAAAGCAACCTCAGCTTAACCCGTCAGCATCTTCTAGGGTGGCTATCCACAAAGACTCAACCCAGCACAGCAAGAACACTAGAAAACCAAAAGGGAAAACAGAGAAAACCATTAAGCCCAATGGGTAAAAACAACATCACCTAAGACATAAACAATACCAGTACATCTTCAGACAATGCGTTTAGTGACACCATGATGAGAATATTTTGTGAGCTTAAAGAAATGATAGCACAGATAGTCAGCAAAGCACACAAAAAAGTATGAGTTAAAATGAAAAAAAAAAGTACTACAATCAGAAAGAGCAGAAATTAAGAACACAGTAGGAAAATTTTAAACTAATAAAAAAAAACTTAAAAAAATTTGTTATATGCCTGCAAAGGTTTCAGGCTGGGGATGGTGATGGGAAAGAATCTGGGGACAACGGAGGAAGGAAGAGGACACTGTTGGTGGGATTTGGTGTTAGAACATTGTATGCCTAAAAAAAACTATTATGAATAATTTTGTAAATCATGGTGTCTTAATAAAAATTAAAAGAAAAAGTTTACTGTCACAAGTATCTGGCTGGATAGTAAATTTGAAGAACAGAAGGAGCCAGTGGAATTTTTTGTGCAAACTGGTATGAGGTTGTGTGAAGCCATGATATTTCTTAATATTTGGGTATCATTTGATTTACAGATCATCTGCCTATGGCTACAGTCAACTAGAAAACTCAGATTTAAGATAATAGTATCAAGTAAATGACATTGTGTTAGGAGATGTTGAAGACTTCTTTATAATAAAAAAATCATAAAAACCCAGATAAAAGGAGTTTATTTATTGGCGACACCCTGCGATGTTCAGGGATTACTATTGGATTTTCACTCAGAAATTACTCCTGGTAGTGCCTATGAGATCGTATGGAATGGCAGGGCTAGAACCTGGTCAGCTGCATGCAAGGAAAATGCTCTACCTGCTATACAGTTGCTCTGTCCCCTAAAGGAGTTTTAAAAGTCACAAAAATAATTGAGAGGCTGTTTGAGCTAGGATCCTCTTATATTCAAGTAGTTCTTATATTTTTCCCCTTATTTCTGTTTGCCATATTGACTTGTAACTCAGCTTGAATATCTTATGGGCATCAAAAAAGTGCAAAACATTAGTATTACTTAACTGGGTAATTAGTTGTGCAGGTGATGAGTATAAGGATTTTAGTATAAGTTTAAATGTTCATCAGACTATGCATCTCATTTGTTCTCTATATTAACTGTTACACTTGATCTACTCACAAATAAGGTTCTTCATCTGAACTGCAGAATACAGAAAATGATTTAGCCAGCTATTCACTCACCACTAGGTCTGTAGAATTAAGTCCATTCAAGATGCAGAGGGAGATATCAGCTTACCACACAAACAGTGGTTCAGGGAAATAGGGTTTAATTCTCCCATAAATGGTTCGAAAATTAAAACAACAACAACAACAACAACAACAAAACAGACCTGATGCAATCAAACTTATAAATGGGTTCTGATCTAAAATATTTACTTTGTTAAAAGGCGACTCAGATAAAGAAGGGAACACCACATAAAGGATGTTTGGAAGATTCGCTCGGGATGCGAGATGTGTGCTGAAAGTAGACTATAGACTGAACACGATGGCCACTCAATACCTCTA